CATTCCTGTTCCTTCATCCCATGTGTCAGGAGCTCTTTTTTTAAAAATGAAACAATGCATTACATTTGTTTTGTTTTTTTAATCATTTTATTGGGGACTCATATAGTTCTTATCACAATCCATACAAACATCCATTGTGTCAAGCACATTTGGACATATGTTGCCATCATCGTTCTCAAAATATTTTCTTTCTACTTGAGTCCTTGGTATCAGCTCCTCATTTTCTCCCCTCGTTTCCCCTCCCTCCCTCCCTTATGAACCCTTGATAATTTATAAATTATTATTATTTTTTCTTGTCTTCACAGACCTATGTCTCCCTTTACCCACTTTTCTGTTGTCCATCCCCCAGGGAAGGGGTTATATGTAGATCATTGTGATCAGTTTCCCCCTTTCTCCTCCCACCTTCCCCAATGATATCGATACTCTCATTATTGGTCCTGAGGGTTTTATCTGTCCTGGATGTCCTGTGTTTCCAACTCTCACCTGTACATCCCCTGGTCTAGCCAGATTTGTAAGGTATAATTGGGGTCATGATAGTGGGCTGGGGGGGGGCATTAAAGAACTAGAGGAAAGTTGTATGTTTCATCAGTGCTATACTGCACCTTGACTGACTCATCTCTTCCTTGTGACCCTTCTGTAAGGGGGCGTCCAATTGTCTACAGATGGACTTTGGGTCTCCACTCCACAGTCCCCCTCATTCACATTGATATGATTGTTTTGTTCTTTGATGCCTAATACCTGATCTCTTCAACACCTCATGATCACACAGGCTAATGTGCTTCTTCCATGTGGGCTTTGTTGCTTCTTAGCTAGATGGCTGCTTGTTAATCTTCAAGCCTTTAAGACCCCAGATACTGTATCTTTTTATAGCCGGGCACCATCAGCTTTCTTCACCATGTTTACTTATGCACACATTTGTCTTTAGTGATCTTGTCGGGAAGATGAGCATCACGGAATGCCAGGTTATTAGATCAAAGCATTGTTGCATTGAGGGAGTACTTGAGTAGAGGCCCAATGACAGTCTGCTACCTTAATACTTAACATATAAATATATGTACATAGATCTATTTCCCTATCATTACATAGAAATATATTTACATATGTACATACCTGTATAAATGCCCTTTGCCTCCTAGTTCTTTCCTCTGTTTCCTTTTACTTTCCCTTGTCCCACTATCATGTTTGGCCTTAATTTGGGTTTCAGTAATTCCTCTCAATTACATTGCCCTTGATCAAGCCCTACCAGCATCCTATGTCCTCCTCACCATCGATGTTAGATCACTTGTTGTTCCCTTGTTCCTGGATTTGTTAATACCCACTTCCTTTCCCCTGCCTCCTCCTCTCCTGTGTCCCTTAGAACTGTCAGTCCCGTTGTTTTTTCCTCTGGATTGTTTATCCCATCTATCTTATCTAGATAGACATGCAGAGACAATAATAAGCAGAAAAACAAGACAGACCAAGACATAACAACATCCAAATAAAAACCCAACTATGTCCAAAAAAAAAAGAAAAGCCTATATGTAGTTCCAGGTCTGTTTCTTGACCATTAGGAGAGTTTTCCAGTGGAGTTTGAGGAGGTGCCACACCCTGGCCCCACAGTCCATTTTTGGTACTCCCCGGGGACTTCATTGCTCTGCCCCCCTTGCTGCTCTGTTGCATGCCCTTAATGTTTCACCCCAGTGTGGTGGGGTCAGATCGGGCACAATTCCCACACTG